TGTTGGCATATTAGTTATTGATTGATCATCATTTTCACCCTGAGCTTCAACTTTAGGATTGGAACTATCAATATTACAAACTTTAAATAAGAATAATGTCAGTGCCATTGTATTCTGTATGTATAGTGTATTAAATACAATATGTTTGTAAATACTGCTTGTAAATGTAAATAAATAGTAATACTGCAATTAATAATACAATATATGAAATTAAGTATCAGAATAGTATATAAAGAAAAATATGCATTTACAAATGGTATACGTAAAAACACCTATAATGAGTATCTTAACGAACAGTATCAAGGAGACGAAAGGCAACTATAAGTTTTTTTCTCTTCGTTCTCTCTGTTCTAATCATTGCCTTGTTTTTTTTTCTTTTTTTGCTTTAATTAACTTGTAACATTTTTTTACACTTATTCAAGCTTCTAAACGAAGGAAAAAAAACGGTTTTCATGTCAACTTATTTTATTTTGCTAATTGACATAACTATCAGAAGTGTTTACAGTGAACTAATTTGTTACTTGCGCTAAAAAAAAATATTTTCTGTGCAATTAATAACAAGTATATGATATTGATGTGAAGTCATCCAAGACAAATGTTAATTGGAAAAAATATTTAAAATATAAATATCAATGAAAACACAAAACATTAATTAATGGTTGTTCTTTTAGAATTGAAGCTTTTTTCTGTGATTCATTTTTTTATTTTGCTTCGTATGAATGGTTATTAACCCTAGTACGCCCGTGCTTTTTTACGCACTACAGTAGCAATATACGCTTCTATAAAATTATTCTCTCTATTCTAAGGCCACTATCCTGATAAAAGGATGCTAGTGTTATATCCAACCTGATAGAAAAAAATACTGAGAGTAGATTAGTCCTATATTTCGAACAATTAATACAAAAAATCTGCTTTAGGGTGTCTGTGTGGGTGTGTGTGTGTGGGTGTAGGTATGAAGGAGTTAAGACAAAATCCACACCCACACCCTTACCAGTGCTTTTCTATTTGTTACCAACTTATCCACTGTTACATGGGCGATCATTATCCATTCAAAACAAGAATTGATACTTTATTCTGACTTAGTTTCAATTCAAACGCATGATTAGTCCAAAATCTCATATCAAAAATAATGAAATGAATACTAATTATAGTGGCGGAGCCAGGCCGGGGCTGGGGGCTCAGCCCCCTCCAGGAATATTTGAACTATTTGAGAAACGAAAATTGTTGGATCCGATTATGTTATGAAGCGAGACCCGAAATCAAGTGCAATATGAATAAAAAACTTTATTCTTAACTGGCTGATGTTGCAGGCAAAATTCAAAACCAGGAAAACTGAAAATTTTCCTAGAAAATTCAGGAAAAATTAAAATTTTCACATGAATATTTTAAGCTTTCCTAGGAAAATTTTAAATTGTCCTGGATTTTAATTTCTACTGCAAGACGTATGTCATTAAAACGATAGGGTGACATGACAAATTAAAATTAATCGCAGGATTGTACAAGAAAGTAACACCTTATACAGATGCATTTGCAACAGCTGTATCTACGGTTACTGGAGCATTAACAGCTCCTATGTTTTAAACAACATGTGAACGCAGCCTCAGCAAGATGAAACTCATCAAAAATTACGAAAGAAATACAATGAGTGCTGCAAGATTAAGTGATATGTACTTATTATGTATTGAAAAAGATTTTGAGATAGACTTCGAAAAAGTAACAGATTTCTTTTGATGGAATCATGCCAATAGTCGGATACTCTTACGATAAACTTAATTAATAAAAAGTTGAATATTTTCTCTTTTCTATAATGCATTGTCCTAAAAACTATATTACTCTATCTCTTTCCTACCTAAACAGTTACGGGGCTGAGCCCCCAGAAAATTTTCCTGGCTCCGCCACTAGACCCATGTCGCCTCTTTTTTACCAACTGCGGCGCACTGGCCGCAGCCGGGATTAAAAAAATAGACTGTGTTCATTGCGACGCAGTCATCGCAGTACCTGCTACACTATTCACTTTTCTTACAGTTGCTGAAAAAGTAGCGAATGATAAATAAATATCTGAATTTTCCGATTCGACGGTTTTAAACACTTACAATAATGACTGAATGGGGTATAAAAGGACATATCTCAAGCATACGAGCACATTTCTTTCTTTTTCTATTAGCAAGACACTTCCAATTAGTCTCTCAAATTATCAAGGTAAGCATCATGGAATTTTCAAAGTTAAAGTAGAGATTTTTTACCAAAGGAAGAACTTTTTTAAGAAAAAACCGATTTTT